CCTCTTCTAGCTACCCACAGGGCTGCTGTTAGGGGAATCCACACCGCAGGACCAGATTGACCCCTGAGATATCCCAGTTACATAAACACACCTCTCTGCCAGAACTTTACCAAAAAAGAATGTAGCTTCTGGTTTACAGTGTTACACTCTCAGGGGCACTCAGTAACTGGACAGCAGTCAACACACACACACTTTGCACAGTCTAACACCTTTATGCTCTGTTATACTTAACCACGTAAAGCATGGGAGAGTACAGATCATATATGGGCTGGGGTCCATGTCTCTTGGGTTGTCCAGAGTCCTTGAGGCCATCTGGGTTCAGGAATGTGGTCAGGGTCCCACCCCCCTCCATGAGGCTCCCACATGCTAGGTGACCTCTCCCTCCTAGAGCCCCTTACCCTGCTTCTGTGATCTTGCTTTCTCCTGCCCCATTCTGCTTCTTCCTCCTGGCTCCTGTTCCTATGTGTTTCTTTATTGAAACATCTGGCAAATTTCCGCTCCTCCTACCTTCCCTCCTCCATCCAGAGGAATCAGCTAAATTGTTTTTTCTAAGACTGCAGCATCTATTTTGCATAACCTTTGTGAGGTCTAAATACCATCATTAACCTTAAGTATTTCCCTGTGTTTCTGTCTCTGGTGTACATGCTACAGGCTGTGTCCAGCAGTTTTTCATAAGACGACTTCACAACATCAATCAGAATTCTTAAGTTGTACAGGCGTAGCCCCATTCATCACACCAGATATGACTTGAAAGTATTCAGCAAGCAGACGACTGTTGTAAAAAGGTACCACTGTACACAGTAACTTGTCTGACTCCATCAGCACTCTAATTTATTCTTAAAGGAAACTTCCACCTACAGGACGTAAAAGTTATTGCAAATACAGTGACACCTGTACTGTTCTGTTCTATAAAGGATTTTTATAACACATTTGTCGGGGTTCCTTCCCCACTCTGAACTCTAGGGTAGAGATGTGGGGACCCGCATGAAAGACCCCCTAAGCTTATTCTTACCAGCTTAAGTTAAAAACTTCCCCAAGGTACAAACTTTGCCTTGTCCTTGAACAGTATGTTGCCACCACTAAGTGTTTTAAACAAAGAACAGGGAAAGAGACAACTTGGAGATGTCTTCCCCCAAAATATCCCCCCAAGCCCTACACACCCCCTTTCCTGGGGAGGCTTGAGAATAATATCCTAACCAATTTGTTACAAAATCATCAAAGACCCAACCCCCTGGATCTTGGAACAATGGAAAAATCAGTCAGGTTCTTAAAAGAAGGATTTTATTAGGTAAAAATCATCTCTGTAAAATCAGGATGGAAAATACTTTACAGGGTATTCAGATTCAAAACACAGAGGATCCCGCTCTGGGCAAAACCTTAAAGTTATAGAAAACAGGAATAAATCTCCCTCTTAACACAAGGAAAATTCACATAAAACAAAAGATAAACTAATCTGCCTTGCCTGGCTTACCTATACTGGTTGAAATATTGGAGACTTGGATTAGGATGGGTTGGAGAAGATGAATTTCTGCCTGGCTTCTCTCAGTCCCAAGAGAGAACAACCACGTAAACAAAGAGCACAAAAAAAAAGTCTTCCCCTTCCCCCTCCCCCCCAAGATTTGAAAGTATCTTGTCCCCTCATTGGTCCTTTGGGTCAGGTGCCAGGCTGAGCTTCCTAACCCTTTACAGGTAACAGGATGTTGCCTCTGGCCAGGAGGGATTTTATAGCACTGTATACAGAAAGGTGGTTACCCTTCCCTTTATATTTATGACAACACTCATCACTCTAGTATCAGAGCGCTTTCCAGTAGCGTGTTAAATAATGTGACTTCACAGTTGTCATATGGTCTTAGTTCTCTCAGCCTCTCCCCAGAGGGAGAAGTGGGTGCAGTGGTGTGTGTCTTGTCTTGAGGGGTTCTTTTTTATTTATCTGTTAAAATATACCTGTTGCTATGTGTTTATATGAGAAGAAGCAAGGTCACAGAAATGTGCCTTGCACTGAAATGCAAGGTGGTGAGGTTTCTGATAGACCTTAATTCCTGGAGGAGTTTATTCCACAGGCTGGGACCAGACCTCTGTCATAAATATAAAGGGAAGGGTAAACACCTTTAAAATCCCTCCTGGCCGGAGGAAAAATCCTTTCACCTGTAAAGGGTTAAGAAGCTAGGATAACCTCGCTGGCACCTGACCAAAATGACCAATGAGGAGACAAGATACTTTCAAAAGCTGGGAGGAGGGAGAAAAACAAAGGGTCTGGTCTGTCTGTGTGATGCTTTTGCCGGAGACAGAACAGGAATGGAGTTTTAGAATTTAGTAAGTAATCTAGCTGGATATGCATTAGATTATGATTTCTTTAAATGGCTGAGAAATTAAGCTGTGCTGAATAGAATGGATATTCCTGTCTGTGTGTCTTTTTGTAACTTAAGATTTTGTCTGGAGGGATTCTCTATGTTTTGAATCTAATTACCCTGTAAGGTATTTACCATCCTGATTTTACAGAGGTGATTCTTTTTTACTTTTTACTTCTATTAAAATCCTTCTTTTCAGAAACGGAATGCTTTTTCATTGTTCTGGCCAATGGGAACTGGGGGCGGTGGTGCCTGTGGGAAAGAGTTGTGCGAAGCCACTTGTGCACCTCCACCTAGGAGCTGGACCTGTTCCTGGCTGCTTCCAGGGCGCAGCACAGTCTGCAGTGCCACAACAGGTGGGAAGCCTGCCTCCGCATCCCGACTGCACCGCTGATGGGGAGCCGCCGGAGGTAAGTCCATGCCTCAACCCTGCACCCCAATCCCCTGCCCCAGCCCTGAGCCCCCCACCAAACCTGGAATCCCTTCCTTCACTCCAAACCTCCCATCCCTGGCCTCTCCCACGAGCCTGCACTCCCAGCCCAGAGCCCTGACCCCCTCCTGCACCCCTGCCCCAGCCCAGAGCCCCCTCCTGCACCCTGAACCCCTCATTCCAGCCCCACCCTGCAGCCCTCACCCCCGCACCCCAACCCTCTGCCCCAGCTCCGTTGGGTCATGGGCATCAACAATTTTCTTCAACTGGGTCCCCAGAAAAAGAGTTTGATGCTTCTAGGGTCTTTCGTTCCATAATCTCATTGGAATACTCTGGAAGGCAACGTGCTGCCCTATATGTGTACAAAACAGCTTTGAGTAAATTGGATTTTTTTTTTTTTACAGGGTCGAGGGAGAAAGGAGGAGAGGGCATGCGTACACTCCAATAACGGGCAAATACCAGAAATGTGGTTTGGATTACTCCCTGCCCTGTCTGGATGCTCATCTGAAGCTCTGCATTTTCCCTCCCACTCCGATCCTCTCTCTTGCATTCCTCTTAGTGACTTGGGAAAACATCAATAAATGATTCTTCTCTTTCCCATCCGCCATGCCCATTACTGAGGTTCTTGTTGTAATTGACATTAAATGTGCTGCGTTTGGATGCATGGCCTTGTCTATCCAATACTTGTTTCTTGTGATCAAAGGGTCAGAGGGAAGCCTTCCCAGCTTTTGTGGGTTTTCAGTAACTTCTTGAATTGAGGAGGCAGCGGCCTATTGTGCTTTAAGGGCTTGAAGGTGAAGATGAGCCTAAACTTGGTGAAAGAAGAGGAGCCAGTGCAGGGTTTCATTACTGGAAGAATATGATTTTGTTGCGGATTGTGAGACATTCGCATGAATTCCAGAGATGCTGAAGCCAAAGAACATAAGAATGGTCATACTGGGCAGACCAATGGTCCATCTAGTCCAGTGTCCTGTCTTCGGATACTGGCCAGTGCCAGATGCTTCAGAGGGGATGAACAGAACAGGGCAATTACTGAGTGATCAATCCCCTGTCATCCAGTCCAACTTCTGGTCGTCGGAGGTTTAGGGATGCCCAGAGTGTGGGGTTGCATCCCTGACCATCTAGGCTACTTGTCATTGATGGACCTATCCCCCATGAACTTATTCAATTCTTTTTTTGAATCCAGTTATACTTTTGGCCTTCATAACGTGCCTTGGCAATGAGTTCCACAAGTTGACCGTGCATTGTGTGAAGAAGGACTTCCTTTTGTTTGTTTTAAACCTGCTGTCTGTTAATTTCATTGGGTGACCCCTGGTTCTTGTGTTATGTGAAGGGGTAAATAACACTTCCCTATTCACTTTCTCCACACCAGTCATGATTTTATAGACCTCTAGCATGTCCCTCCTTAGTCATCTCTTTTCTAAGATGAACAGTCCCAGTCTTCTTAATCCCTCCTCGTACTGAAGCTGTTCCATACCCCTAATAATTATTGTTGTCCTTCTCTGTACCTTTTCCAATTCTAATGTATCTTTTTTGAGATGGGGTGACCAGAACTGCAGGCAGTATTCAAGGTGTGGGTGTATCATGGATTTATATAGTGTCAAGATTTTAGTGATGAGCATAGATACAGGTCAGGAAGTCGAAGAGAATGGTGGCAAGGTTACCAGTCCAAGGGATGGGAAATATAAATGCCTTTTAAAAACATTAGGCACCATGTTAGCTCAACAGCAGTAAGCTGCAAAGCCACGTTCTACTGGGAGATGGCCTTGACATGTCTAATATTCATAGCACAACAGGGTTGCAGTCTAATGGAAGCCTCTAGGTGATACCATAATGATACTAATAAAATCTGAGCTAGCAGAAGCTGTTGGATTGCACTTGGTCTCAAAAAAGGAGAACGGGGTATATGCCATTGCTCTTTATTTTTTCTCTCCCCTAGAAAAAAAGCGCTTGTGAAAAGCATTCGCATGGCAGCCTGGTGGTGAGAGAACAGGTACTGAATGGCCAGTAGCTGTGCAAGCTTCCTCCTGCAGCTCCACTAATGTGTATCAACCCTGTAATAGAGGGATCACCGATCTGGTCAATGACTAGCTCAGTCTTCAGGTCCATTCAGTCACACGCATCTCCAACAAGAGTAAAGAGATTCCTAGTCTCTAGGGCCTAGATATATTTTAGACTTTTTTTTTTAAGTGGATTGTTCCAAGGTGGCATTTAAAACCTTGTCAGTTCTTATACAAGACCCTGGGAGATGACCGTCCCATCTGGGCTGCAAGGAGATGGAGAAGAGCTATTAGATCATCCCGTGCAGGCTTAGCTGCTATGATCCTATGAAAAGAAAAGCGAAAGGAACTCCCAGATTTGTTTCGTGACACATTTTTCGAGCAGTTTCCCCCACCCCTCTTGTTTTCAAGATTGGCTGAAGGGGAGCAATTCGCCTATTTCTTTACTACTTTATAATGCAACAGGTGTGCCATTTAGTGGGGGCAGGGGTGGGCTCCTGCTTCCCTCCCCTCCCCCCGAGTTTCCGTACAGGGGGCCTGGGCCGGGCACAAGTCCTAGACCCAGGCCGATCTTAATCTGCAGCGCAGCCCGTGTGTGGAATGTGAGTTCTGCAGAGGAGAGGTGCTGCTCCCAGCTTGTGCTCCTGGGGCAGGAAGTCAGCATTTTGTTGATAAACAGAGGCAGGGTGATTAAGATAAGATAAAAAGAAAAGGAGTACTTGTGGCACCTTAGAGACTAACCAGTTTATTTGAGCATAAGCTTTCGTGAGCTACAGCTCACTTCATTGATGAAGTGAGCTGTAGCTCACGAAAGCTCATGCTCAAATAAATTGGTTAGTCTCTAAGGTGCCACAAGTACTCCTTTTCTTTTTGCGAATACACGGCTGCTACTCTGAAACCTAAGATAAGATAAAGGGCTGGTAATTAAATTAAGGATCAGGAAGTCGTTAGATGAGCCTGTAAAACAGGAATCCCTCTGTGGGCAGTGGGGTGTTGATGACAGAATGCAGGGGACTCAGAAGAAATACAGCCAAGGTTACATTCAGGCTTTGTGTCAACCTATGTCACTCAGGGCTGTGAATAAACCACTCACTTGAGCGACATAAGTTACACCGACCGAAGGGCTCATGTGCACAGCTTCTCCCACTGCCATAGCTTTTGCCGCTTGTAGAGGTGGTTTCATCTATCTGCTTTGGCAGAGAGTGTCTTCACCAGGTGTGCTGCGGCCATGCCCCCGTATCGGTACGGCTGTGCCACGGAAAAGAGGCAAGAAAAGAGGGAGATGTGAGGCGGGTAGGTGAAAAGAAGGGGCCAAAACCTAGGGAAGGGAGGGCAGTGGTACAGAGAAGTTCCCACTCTCCCTGTGGTGCTTACGTGTGATATCTGAGCGCCTCACAATGTCTAACCGATTTCTCCTCACAGCCCTCGCTGAGGTACAGCAGTGCTGTTGTCCCCATTGTTCAGATGGGGCACTGAGGCACAGAGAGACTAACAGCCAAATTTTCAAAGGTATTTAGGCACCTAGTGGGATTTTCGAAAGCCCTTAGACGGTTAGGTGCTTTGTAAAAACCCCACTAGGTTCCCAGCTGCATCTTTGAGTGCCAAAAAAACCTTTGAAACTCTGTCCCTAAGGCACTGGCCTGAGGTCATACAGGAAGTCCATGGGGGAAGTAGAACCCAGATCTCTGAGGGCTAGCTCCCTAAACACTGAACCAGCCTCTCTCTCTGCTACATGCTGCCAAAAAGGGGACTCTGTTAGTTGGGAGCAAAACCAAGAAGGCCAGTTCTCTTGAGACTCCAATAAACGGTCCAAGGAGGCTGGGAAGGAGGTCATGGTTGACAGCATGAAAAGCAGCACAAAGGTCAGGAAGGACGAAGAAAGAGAGAGAGAATGAGAGTCAGATGAGAGGAGATCACTAAACCCCTCAAGGGGTGGCAGGTTCTTCCCCATGAGGGGCTGTAGAGCAATGCCTACTGTGCAATTTTACCTTTTAACTGAAAACTATTTTGTTTTGTCATTTTTTGTTCTGAGTTCCAGAAAAGGAAGGAATGAGAAAGTGTCGTATGACTATCAGATGTGTTTATGCCTCAAATTCTTAGGGTTTCCGCTGTAGTCAGGCCAATTCCAGAACAAAGAACAGAAATTGTCTCCACAGAGCCCATAAAGTTAACAATTACTGTCATGATTTGTATTATTCACTGGGCACCATCTGTGTGCTCAGCACTGTTCAGAATATATCAGAAAATCTAGTCCCTGAGCCAATGTGTATAAAACGTGTAGCCCTGGATAAGATGGCTCAGACATTTAAGTATGAAGCATATTGTTCATGAGCACATGTTAATATCTATGAGTGGAGGCACTGACAGCTGTAGAAGTTTTACCTGACTGAGCACTGGAAGATTTGACCCCCCAACTTTCTTTCAAGGGGAAGAGCTGCCCAGAGCGCCTGTGCCTGTTTGTTTTCCTTTCCTGTCTTCAGTGGCCCTGAGATACATCAGAAGTCTCAATTTTTTTCTCAGTTTTCACATGTGGAGTTTTTTTAGTGTTTGGTTTTAAATATTCTTCTGTGAGAACTGCAACTCAGTCACTGTAGTATTGTGTTTAACAGCCTTCTGAGTCTCATGATAATTGGTTTTCTTAAGGCCCCAGCTCCTGGAGTCAAGTGGATATGTGATGATTTCAGCCTTCATTCTTAAAGAAAAAATAAGTTCCTAGCCCTCATGGCTGTAGAGAAAGCTTCAAAATGTGGCCCCAGTGCACCCTAAAGGCTCAAAAAGCAGCAGGGAAATAAAACTAACACAAATCTATTATTTTTAAATAATCTCAGGATTTTTAAGCAAATTTCTTTTTTGATGAGCCTGATTCATTATTTTTGAACTTTTGGGGTAGGCAACATTGTGAAAGGGACTTGAAAGTGTCAGTTTCACTCCTGTTTAAAGTCAGTTTCTAGTCTATTGTTTGTAGTGATGTAACACCCATAGAGCCCCAGGCAGGTGCAGTATAAACTCATGGGACCTTGCCCTAGCAGGATGGTTCCAAGAGTTAATGATCTAGTCCAAGCTTGTTGACTGCAAAAAGTAAGTAGCCTAAATGATAGAAAGTAATCTAGATTTGTTTTGGGGGGCAATTATTGTATTCAAGAGTTAGTAACAAAGTAAGAATATACTTTAAAATTTTAAACCTAACCAATGTCCTTTAAGAAGTGACTTGCCAAAAGATGTCAGAACATGTTCGTATTGGAGCTGAGTGGGTCTAATATTTATTTAATTTTCTTTCTATATATAGGAATTAGATACAGTGCTCCTGACAGATAATTTCTAAGTTATCTTAAAAAAAACCCCAACACCTAGAGTTTTCAGGTGCCTAAGTAGCCCCTGGAATCATTGTTAAAGTTGCCCCCCGTGAAAATCTGAAATGGCGCCCCTGTTCAAATTTCCTGGGCTGTAATGGAGATAAATCTGCTATATAACAGGACTGAAGATTCAATGCCTCATTTCAAAGCCCAGGGCTGTTATGTTTCTTGCAGTCCTGTCAAAGTGGAGAGTGTCAAGTGGTTCAGAGAACAAATTCCAAGTAGAACTCTGGAGAGTTAAGGCTCTTTAACTGGGCAGACCATGTTTTCCTCCTAACTGAGCCTCAGGCAAAGTAAAGGCATGTAATTCACAATTACGGGATTTAATGGTAATCGAAAGTGAATGCAGAGCACCACCTACTGCCTGACCTGAATACTGCTAAGAATTTTGTAACATGGGCGCAATATCTTCTTAGGGTATGTCTACACTACGGAATAAGGTCGAATTTATAGAAGTCGGTTTTTTAGAAATCGGTTTTATAAATTCGAGTGTGTGTGTCCCCACAGAAAATGCTCTAAGTGCATTAAGTGCATTAACTCGGCGGAGCGCTTCCACAGTACCGAGGCAAGCGTCGACTTCCGGAGCGTTGCACTGTGGGTAGCTATCCCACAGTTCCCGCAGTCTCCGCTGCCCATTGGAATTCTGGGTTGAGATCCCAATGCCTGATGGGGCTAAAACATTGTCGCGGGTGGTTCTGGGTACATATCGTCAGCCCCCCCGTTCCCTCCCTCCCCCCGTGAAAGCAAGGGCAGACAATCATTTCGCGCCTTTTTTCCTGAGTTACCTGTGCAGACGCCATACCATGGCAAGCATGGAGCCCGCTCAGGTAACCGTCACCCTATGTCTCCTGGGTGCTGGCAGACGCGGTACAGCATTGCTACACAGTAGCAGCAACCCCTTGCCTTGTGGCAGCAGACGGTACAGTACGACTGGTAGCCGTCATCGTCATGTCTGAGGTGCTCCTGGTCGCCTCTGTGAGGTCGATCAGGAGCGCCTGGGCAGACATGGGCACAGGGACTAAATTTGGAGTGACTTGACCAGGTCATTCTCTTTAGTCCTGCAGTCAGTCCTATTGAACCGTCTTATGGTGAACGGGCAGGCGATACGGACTGCTAGCAGTCGTACTGTACCATCTTCTGCTGAGCAGCCATGAGATGTGGATGGCATGCAGTCCTTCTGCACCGTCTGCTGCCAGCCAAAGATGTAAAAGATAGATGGAGTGGGTCAAAACAAGAAATAGACCAGATTTGTTTTGTACTCATTTGCTTCCCCCCTCCCCTGTCTAGGGGACTCATTCTTCTAGATCACACTGCAGTCACTTACAGAGAAGGTGCAGTGAGGTAAATCTAGCCATGTATCAATCAGAGGCCAGGCTAACCTTCTTGCTCCAATAAGGACAATAACTTAGGTGCACCATTTCTTATTGGAACCCTCCGTGAAGTCCTGCCTGAAATACTCCTTGATGTAAAGCCACCCCCTTTGTTGATTTTAGCTCCCTGAAGCCAACCCTGTAAGCGCCCCTCCCAGCGTCAGAGCAATGGCAAACAATCGGGCATCTGAGAGTGCTGTCCAGAGCAGTCACAATGGAGCACTCTGATGGGGCTAAAACATTGTCGCGGGTGGTTCTGGGTACGTGTTGTCAGGCCCCCGTTCCCTCCCTCCCTCTGTGAAAGCAAGGGCAGACAATCATTTCGCGCCTTTTTTCCTGAGTTACCTGTGCAGACGCCATACCACAGCAAGCATGGAGCCCGCTCAGGTAACCGTCACCCTATGTCTCCTGGGTGCTGGCAGACGCGGTACGGCTTTGCTGCACAGTAGCAGCAACCCCTTGCCTTCTGGCAGCAGACGGTGCAATACGACTGGTAGTCATCCTCATCGTGTCCGAGGTGCTCCTGGCCGCGTCGGCTGGGAGCGCCTGGGCAGACATGGGCGCAGGGACTAAATTTGGAGTGACTTGACCAGGTCATTCTCTTTAGTCCTGCAGTCAGTCCTATTGAACCGTCTTATGGTGAGCGGGCAGGCGATACGGACTGCTAGCAGTCGTACTGTACCATCTTCTGCCAGGCAGGCAAGAGATGGGGATGGCTAGCAGTCGTACTGTACCATCTTCTGCCGAGCAGCCATGAGATGTGGATGGCATGCAGTCCTTCTGCACCGTCTGCTGCCAGCCAAAGATGTAAAAGATAGATGGAGTGGGTCAAAACAAGAAATAGACCAGATTTGTTTTGTACTCATTTGCCTCCTCCCCTGTCTAGGGGACTCATTCCTCTAGGTCACACTGCAGTCACTCACAGAGAAGGTGCAGCGAGGTAAATCTAGCCATGTATCAATCAGAGGCCAGGCTAACCTCCTTGTTCCAATAACAATGATAACTTAGGTGCACCATTTCTTATTGGAACCCTCCGTGCAGTCCTGCCTGAAATACTCCTTGATGTACAGGCACCCCCTTTGTTGATTTTAGCTCCCTGAAGCCAACCCTGTAAGCTGTGTCGTCAGTCGCCCCTCCCTCCGTCAGAGCAACAGCAGACAATCATTCCGCGCCTTTTTTCTGTGCGGACGCCATACCAAGGCAAGCATGGAGCCCGCTCAGCTCACTTTGGCAATTAGGAGCACATTAACCACCACACGCATTATTCAGCAGTATATGCAGCACCAGAACATGGCAACGCGATACCGGGCGAGGAGGCGACGTCAGCGCGGTCCCGTGAGTGATCAGGACATGGACACAGATTTCTCTGAAAGCATGGGCCCTGACAATGCATGCATCATGGTGCTAATGGGGCAGGTTCATGCTGTGGAACGCCGATTCTGGGCTCGGGAAACAAGCACAGACTGGTGGGACCGCATAGTGTTGCAGGTCTGGGACGATTCCCAGTGGCTACGAAACTTTCGCATGCGTAAGGGCACTTTCATGGAACTTTGTGACTTGCTTTCCCCTGCCCTGAAGCGCATGAATACCAAGATGAGAGCAGCCCTCACAGTTGAGAAGCGAGTGGCGATAGCCCTGTGGAAGCTTGCAACGCCAGACAGCTACCGGTCAGTTGGGAATCAATTTGGAGTGGGCAAATCTACTGTGGGGGCTGCTGTGATGCAAGTAGCCCACGCAATCAAAGATCTGCTGATATCAAGGGTAGTGACCCTGGGAAATGTGCAGGTCATAGTGGATGGCTTTGCTGCAATGGGATTCCCTAACTGTGGTGGGGCTATAGATGGAACCCATATCCCTATCTTGGCACCGGAGCACCAAGCCGCCGAGTACGTAAACCGCAAGGGGTACTTTTCGATAGTGCTGCAAGCTCTGGTGGATCACAAGGGACGTTTCACCAACATCAACGTGGGATGGCCGGGAAAGGTGCATGATGCTCGCATCTTCAGGAACTCTGGTCTGTTTCAAAAGCTGCAGGAAGGGACTTTATTCCCAGACCAGAAAATAACTGTTGGGGATGTTGAATTGCCTATATGTATCCTTGGGGACCCAGCCTACCCCTTAATGCCATGGCTCATGAAGCCATACACAGGCAGCCTGGACAGTGGTCAGGAGCTGTTCAACTACAGGCTGAGCAAGTGCAGAATGGTGGTAGAATGTGCATTTGGACGTTTAAAGGCGCGCTGGCGCAGTTTACTGACTCGCTTAGACCTCAGCGAAACCAATATTGCCACTGTTATTACTGCTTGCTGTGTGCTCCACAATATCTGTGAGAGTAAGGGGGAGACGTTTATGGCGGGGTGGGAGGTTGAGGCAAATCGCCTGGCTGCTGGTTACGCGCAGCCAGACACCAGGGCGGTTAGAAGAGCACAGGAGGGCGCGGTACGCATCAGAGAAGCTTTGAAAAACAGTTTCATGACTGGCCAGGCTACGGTGTGAAAGTTCTGTTTGTTTCTCCTTGATGAACCCCCCCACCCCTTGGTTCACTCTACTTCCCTGTAAGCTAACCACCCTCCCCTCCTCCCTTTAATCATTGCTTGCAGAGCCAATAAAGTCATTGCTGCTTCACAGTCATGCATTCGTTATTCATTCATCACACAAATAGGGGGATGACTACCAAGGTATCCCAGGAGGGGTGGTGGAGGAGGGAAGGAAAATGCCACACAGCACTTTAAGCACAGCACTTTAAAAGTTTACAACTTTAAAATTTATTGAATGACAGCCTTCTTTTTTTTGGGCAATCCTCTGTGGTGGAGTGGCTGGTTGGCCGGAGGCCCCCCCACCGCGTTCTTGGGCGTCTGGGTGTGGAGGCTATGGAACTTGGGGAGGAGGGCGGTTGGTTACAGAGGGGCTGCAGTGGCAGTCTGTGCTCCAGCTGCCTTTGCTGCAGCTCAACCATACACTGGAGCATACTGGTTTGGTCCTGCAGCAGCCTCAGCATTGAATCCTGCCTCCTCTCATCACGCTGCCGCCACATTTGAGCTTCAGCCCTGTCTTCAGCCCGCCACTTACTCTCTTCAGCCCGCCACTTACTCTCTTCAGCCCTCCACCTCTCCTCCCGGTCATTTTGTGCTTTCCTGCACTCTGACATTATTTGCCTCCACGCATTCGTCTGTGCTCTGTCAGTGTGGGAGGACAGCATGAGCTCGGAGAACATTTCATCGCGAGTGCGTTTTTTTTTCTTTCTAAGCTTCACTAGCCTCTGGGAAGGAGAAGATCCTGTGATCATTGAAACACATGCAGCTGGTGGAGAAAAAAAAAAGGGACAGCGGTATTTAAAAAGACACATTTTATAAAACAGTCGCTACACTCTTTCAGGGTAAACCTTGCTGTTAACATTACATACATAGCACATGTGCTTTCGTTACAAGGTCGCATTTTGCCTCCTCCCACCGCGTGAACGGATTTTGGTTGAATGCCAGCAAACATACACTGCAATGCTTTGTTCTACAGTGATTCCCCAGTACGTGTTGCTGGCCTGGAGTGGTAAAGTGTCCTACCATGAAGGACGAAATAAGGCTGCCCTCCCCAGAAACCTTTTGCAAAGGCAGAACCGCAAATGCCAGGGCAAAGTAATCCTTTCACATGCTTGCTTTTAAACCATGTATAGCATTTTAAAAGGTACACTCACCAGAGGTCCCTTCTCCACCTGCTGAGTCCAGGAGGCAGCCTTGGGTGGGTTCGGGGGGTACTGGCTCCAGGTCTAGGGTGAGAAACAGTTCCTGGCTATCGGGAAAACCGGTTTCTCCGCTTGCTTGCTGTGAGCTATCTACAACCTCCTCCTCATCATCTTCTTCGTCCCCAAAACCTACTTCTGTATTGCCTCCATCTCCATTGAAGGAGTCAAACAACACAGCTGGGGTAGTGGTGGCTGAACCCCCTAAAATGGCATGCAGCTCATCATAGAAGCGGCATGTTTGGGGCTCTGACCCGGAGCGGCTGTTCGCCTCTCTGGTTTTCTGGTAGGCTTGCCTCAGCTCCTTCAGTTTCACGCGGCACTGCTTCGGGTCCCTGTTATGGCCTCTGTCCTTCATGCCCTGGGAGATTTTCAGAAAGGTTTTGGCATTTCGAAAACTGGAACGGAGTTCTGATAGCACGGATTCCTCTCCCCAAACAGCGATCAGATCCCGTACCTCCCGTTCAGTCCATGCTGGAGCTCTTTTGCGATTCTGGGACTCCATCATGGTCACCTGTGCTGATGAGCTCTGCATGGTCACCTGCAGCTTGCCACGCTGGCCAAACAGGAAATGAGATTCAAAAGTTCGCGGTTCTTTTCCTGTCTACCTGGCCAGTGCATCTGAGTTGAGAGCGCTGTCCAGAGCGGTCAGAATGGAGCACTCTGGGATAGCTCCCGGAGGCCAATACCATCGAATTGTGTCCACAGTACCCCAAATTCAAGCCGGCAACGTCGATTTAAGCGCTAATCCACTTGTCAGGGGTGGAGTAAGGAAATCGATTTTAAGAGCCCTTTAAGTCGAAATAAAGGGCTTCATTGTGTGGACGGGTGCAGGTTTAAATCGATTTAACGCTGCTAAATTCGACCTAAAGTCCTAGTGTAGACCAGGGCTATTACTGTCACTCACAATGTTAGTGAAGTAGGGCTGAGAAAAAGGAAATATGCTACAGATCAGGGGTTCAAAAACTAGATCAACAAATCCTTTTCTTACTCTTGCAAAATAGGCATGTGGCTATTACTTGCCACTTTGGCCACTGTCCTACTAGAAATTAGTCCTGAAGAGCTCTGTGAATCAACTGTTTGCACTTGTGTGAAGCCCAAAGTAGTGACAATGCAGCCCCAAGACTGACCGTGTATAGAATTAGTTCTAGCCCCATGCAGTACTCGGCAACCAACTCTTAACAGGAAAAACAAGGACAGGACCCAGGTTTGTAAATAACTTTCCATAGCCCACGTCTTGCACTTACCAACATGGGCCAAAGCATTTTTTTTTATCATGCTAGGGCCTTGCTTCATCTGTGTGAGTAAATATGGCTCACTGGGTGGCTCTGATTCCATCCTCCAGGGTCCACTCTCAGTTTAACACAATCTTTGTAATCAATACTGGAAAAAAGGGCAAAGAATCTTCTAAATGCTCTTGTAAAAGAAGCCATGCCTAGGTAGTTCAGTGCTCTGTGCGTGGGGATTCAGCCTCACAGCTGCCTTTATTCACAGTCAAGCTTATTAGTAACTAAGATTTCAATAGTGCCTTTCATCAACAGATATCAAAGTTTTCAACACCCTTCTGAAAGTTAGTTAGACAAAGGCTAAGATTTCCAAAAGCAAATAGTAATTTTGGGGGCCCCACTTAAGACACATTAAAGGGGGTTGGTATTTAGAAAGTGCTGAATATCCACCCTCTGAAAATCAGCCATCTTCAAGGTGTCTCAGGTTGGGTGTCCAAAAATCACTAGTTACTTTGGAAATGTTGGTCAAGAATCACTTCCCCCACCACTGACATGCAGCCTCCTCGGGGGTGGAAGACAAGACAAAGATAAAGCTGCTGAACAGAGGTTCTCAGATCTTTTTAGTGTGGCCCATCTTTAATTGGCAGTGTGACTTGTGGACCCCTCCCTCATTTGTCATCAAACATGAACCTCCCTCCATCCCATGGGGTTCATCTACCTTCTCTGTGGCAACTGCTTACATGGAGAAAAGACACTAGGAAAGTATTTAATGTAGCATCTGGAAATGAAGAGGTGGACACTAGTACCCTTTGACCAGCCCGCTCTGCACAGCCAACATGCTTGTGTTCCCCAGACAATAAATAGTCAATGGGCCACACTATGGGAACCACTAAACTAGAAAATGTCCTTTAGGGACTAATCCTACACTGACTAGAAGATTGCCTGCATACTCCTATCAAGTCTTTTGCCATCTCCAATTTCTGGGAGGGCAGCAGTTTAGGATGGGATGTGCAGAAGATACTGTATCCAAGGGCCAGCAGGTTAGTGAGAGGTTTGCCACTGTATCCCTGAAAACAGCAGACATGCGCTTGCTTCTCCACGTCTCCCACCAGCATCATGGTCCTTCATCCCATGCCATTCCTCCTGCAGGGAACTCCCAACCCAAGTTCCTCAGTAAAGCAACTACAATGTTGTTCAAATCCCACATCTGCTGATAAGTTGCCAGTCATTAATGGGTAGGCAGGTGGTTGGTAGAAATTACTGACTCCTAGTTTATTTAGACTTTTAAAAAAACAAAACCCTTTGATGTGAGCAGTGCTCATTGTCCCTTAGCTAGGATGTGTTCCTGTCATGGCTACCCCCTTCCTGGCAGTAGTCCCTTTCACACTCTTGAGTCTGGTCTGTAACTTCTCTGGGCCAGGGACTGTCTTTTTATTTTGGAAGTTTTAACAGGTTTACAAATCATTGCCATGTCAATATCAGAGCCAAAATGATAGGCAGTGAGCTTGTGTTAGCCAGAATGTAATAATCAGATCTCGCTAGGTCACAGTTTAAAAGAGTGAGCCTCTTTCCACTATCCGGGGCGTGTTGTTTCTGGTCATTTTATTAACCTGAGTGCAACTTCCGATTACACGTTGAGTAAACTGGGCATTTCTACCAAATGTTACTATTTAAAAAAATTGACACGTGTAGTGGGTTTTTTTTGCAGGTGAATGGACTTTGTCTGAGTATGAATAAATGTTAATCAAATATCTAAGTAGCTATTTGTCCTCTGGGGCTGCCTTTTAATGTGTATTTGTATAGCTCCTAGCACAATAGGGGCTGTAATCCTGATTGGGGTGCCTAGATGAAACTACGAATGAAACCATAGTGTCTATTACAAGCATGCTGTAATACTGACTAGATCTGAAGACTTGTAGTGTGTAAAATAAGCCAGACTTTGCCAATTCATCCTGTGTGAGCTATCAGGCAGACCGGTACCTGAAACCCTGATGCACAGAGATGTGATCTGAGCACAGGATCATCATTGCCTTTTCCCCAGATGGCATTCCCCCCCCCCCCCATCACTTTCCAATGTACTGTGCCTATTACATTCAATGCCTATGCTTAGAAAACAAAATCCTCAGCCTGCGTCCTTGCATGTAGCTGTACGAGGAGACCGCATAGGCACTGACTCTGGAAAAAATAGTGGATGCTCAGCACCTACTGGCAGCCCCGCGGATCAGCTCCTTCCCTTCCCCCAGTGCATCCTGCCTGCCAGCAGCCTCACTGATCAGCTCCTACCCTTCCCTCCCAGTGCCTCCCACCCATTGCAATCAGTTGTTCAGCAGTGTGCAGGAGATGCTGGGAGGGGGAGGGAGAGGAGCCAGGACAGGAAGAGGCAGTGTAAAGGCGTAATGGGGCTGGGTTAGGAAGAAACGGGCAGAGGTGGGGGCTTGGGGGAAGGGGTGGAGTGGGGGTAGGGCCTGGGGCGGAGCCAGGGTTGAGCACCCCCTGGCAACTGGGGAAGTTGGTACCTTTGGGAGACAGGATTCCTGGGTTCTATCCCTGGCTCTGGGAAGGGAGTGAGGGTTTGGGAGTCATGATTCCTGAGTTCTGTCCCAGCTCTGGAAGGAGAGGAGGTTCTGGGAGCCAGGTAAGAGATGATTGTCCCCATAGTTAAACTCCCAAGAGAAGTGAGGGATTCTCCATCTCTTGATGTCTTCAAACTGGGACTGGATTCCTTTCTGGTCTAGTCCAGCACAAATCACTAGGTTTGGTTCAGGGGGAACTGGGTGAAATTCTCTGGCCTGTGGTATGCAGAAAGTCAGACTACATGATTTATTGGTCCCCTCTAGCCTTAAACTCCATGAAGCGCCCATATCTGGGCGCACAGTTAGGTAGCTAGTTGGTGTTTTGTCTGACAATGTACATGCAGGCACATTGTCAACACGTAACAAATACACTAATTTGCTGTGATTATACAAGGAGTCAGGGTAAAAGTGCACACCCAGACAGCTGGATGCATATACAGCTATGGCATTTCCACATACAAATTAGGCTCACAAGCACATTTACCTCCTTTCACACACACAGCTGCACATGTATAGCTAGGAAGATCAGTCCCTTCATGTTCTTCATTTAACTTCTTGCTCAGTTTGGACTTTGTTTTATTATTTTTGCCAACTAGATGACTCGGTTTGCAACAAGGATCAGTAATAGAGCCCAGCAACCAAAAAGCAGGAGAGGTAATGCACTCCAGCTGAAGCCCCACCATTGCTGAGTAGAATGGGACAGTTACCTCCTGTGTCTTACATATGGCAGTTCTCCTAATCCCAGAATATTAGTCTTTTTTTGCAACTGCATTGCATTGTTGACTCATATTCCATTTGTGATCCACTATAACCCCCCGATCCTTTTCAGCATACTCCTAGCCAGTTATTCCCCCATTTTGTAGTTGTACATTTGATTTTTTTCCCTAAGTCTAACACTTTGCATTTGTCTTCATTGAATTTCTTCTTGTTGGTTTCAGACCAATTCTCCAATTTGTTAAGGTCACTTTAAATTCTAACCCTGTCCTCCAAAGTGCTAGTGACCTCTCCAAACTCGGTGTCATCTGTAAATTTTATAAGCATACTCTCCACTCCATTATCCAAGTCATTAATGAAAATATTGAATAGATTAAAAACTGAAATCTAACCAGCATCATTGCATGTTTTGAGATGAACAATCTGAGCCTGTTAAAAAGAGATCCCAGGAGCTAAGGATCTCTTGTTCTCTCCCTGATACCTTTGCTCCAACATACTGTGACATTCCCCAAAGTACAACCTGGACTGCTGAACAGCTGTGTTCCCTCAATTCTCCAGACTGGGGTGCCCTTTAAACTGCTTTGCTGTGAGAGCAACCACTCTTTGTCTTGCTCACACACATGTAGCATATACATTACTCCTGGCTGAGCTTTACTCTGAGGTTCTACTGTAACCACCCTCTAATTTACTCTCCTCTGGGAGCTCAAAAGTGAAGTAAAGGATTGATGGGCCATGGAAATGGAACTTCGCTTCCATCCCTAGAAGTGGCCTCTCCAACACAGGCGCACATTGGTGGGGTGGAGATGTTGAAACTTGCAATGGCACTGCTCATGATAAAGAAACCAGACGCCAGCCCCAAGGCCTGCCAAGCCATCCCCTTCATCAGTCCTAAATTCCATTAGAAAAGCAATCAACCACCACAACCGTAAAGGCCCCCTGCCCCCATATTCTTAGGGACCTTATCCTTTTTCCATGTACTCATTTGCCAGTAGCTGGTCCCTTATGCCAAATGCCCCTGGCTGGCTTTTTTGAAATCTGTGCACCTCGGTGAGTTTTTATGGCATTTGGAGACAGCTATGACA